AAATATTTTTCATTCATATTATTCCCATTCATCAAATGCATGCACGCACCTATGTGTATATACATGTATATATCTTAGTTATCTCGTAATAATTCTCTCTTTCTCTCTCTCTCACACATACACACTCTCGTGCACGTTCTTATATACCTGTTTACGTAATACCATGGCCTTAACATGTCGACGTTATAATCTAAAATGATACCCAGTTTGCAATCATTAATTATGAACGCTAAGAATCCTAATATTTCCGATATGCATGACGCCAATCGCATATATTTAACATTACTTATAGATTGCTATTGTAATATATACTTCCTTATCGGCAAAATGTAATATTCTTATCATTGATCAAACAAATATATATATATATATGTGTGTATGTATGTATATATATATATATGATTTTCTCGAATAAATTTGAATATGAAAAAGTTTCCTTAGAAATATAACAAGGAAGGATTCCATTTCTGTTATTGGCTTTTTCTAATTTACACAGAAAATTGATGAGTATATTGTTTGTTACAAGCATTACCCATTTTTCATTTTCTTTTCATGAAATATAAAGATTGTTCTAGTGATATCAATTCATTCATATGTGTTTGAAGAACAATTGAAGATCAAATGAAAGATATGTCATAGATCTGATTTTAAAATAATTAGATAATTCTGAAAATAAATGAATTGGGTATTGTGTTAAATGAATTTAAGGGATTTTTTTTTACTTCTTCTTCATCATCTTCTTTTTTTATTCTTGGCTCGTTCATGTCCGATTTGATCTATTATTCATTTTGAAACTTTGCAAAAGTGTTATATAAAAAGTAGAGCATTTATTTAGCAGTTCTCTTTTATCGCCTGCTATTTTCGTGTTGTCATGCGCTAAATGATTATGCGAATAAGAAGAAGAAGAAGGGTTGGGAAACAAAAGACGACTTTCTTTCGAGTGTCCCGTTAATTAAAAAAAGAAAAGAAAAAATATCAATGAAAATATGTAACACACGGTGTCAATTTAGATAATGATTTTAAACAAGATTTTCGTATTGTTGTTCTTATCTTAATCGTTAAAATACCGATATAGAACGAATTCTTAATATATCTGCATTGTCACAATTTACGTAAGGTAAAAGAAAAAGAAGGAACGATCTCGAATGATTATGACGAATACATAAAGAATATAAAAACATCGAGGTGTGTAACATGCAAATTATGTAAATTTGCATTAGCAAGTTTGTTCGATTAAATGACGGCTTCTTTATCAATTTTTTTTTTCTTTTCCATTCCACATATTAAATTAATTAGAAAAATTCCTATTCTCATTTAAATGGGATTTATTTGAAAATTTTCATCTCTCGTTAAATCTTTAGATAGAAAATTTTATTTGACAAAAAAATAAGAAGAATTTTCGAACGTGTATTTATTCTTTTAATATCATTGTCAAAGCTAAAATATTATTCTAATATGCTAATAATTATATTACTATTAATTATGTATTGATGCAAATGAAATTTTGTCTAATTTGATATTTATCTTTTAACTTTGAGATTAAAAAATATATATTGTAAATTATATACGATGTGACTGCATATTTTTACGATAGAAAAAAAAAAGATAAACTTTTTAATAGTTGGAAAAATAATTTTTCAATAGAAAAAATATAAGTCTTTACGCGTTTTTTTTTTTTTGTTTTTCATCGCACATGCTAATTTAAAATTATCTTATAAATAAAAACGTATTTAAACTTAACATTAAAAACACGAGAGATATATTCTACCATAAAAAAAGAAAAAGATTAAATAACTAATTGTAACTTTTTTTATTTTTTATTTGTCAACAAATTTGTCACAATGCTTTATAGACAAATTTAAATATTTTTCCGGTATTTTTTTTGTGTTCGGTACTTCGTAAATATGAATATTTATATTGGCGCCAAGAGTGAAAATAAAACTTCCTGATTTCTCATAAATATTTTTCCTTTTTTTCTTCTTCCTGCAATCGAAAGAATTTATTCTCACGATTTTCTCTTCCTTTAAAACTTACAAAAAAAAAATAATTACTTGCTTTCACTCGCAACATTTAAAAACGTAAAATTTCTATTATGCGAATGAATGAGTGTCTCATGTGTCAGTCTTAATAACATAAATCACAAATTTGTTTTCGAGTTCTTACATTTATCACATAATGAAATAAAAAAATAAAAAAAAAAAAAAATATAAAATCGTATATGAGTGTGAGATTAAAAAATAATTAGTACATAAATCATAAATAATAATTCGATAATAAACGTCACGCAAAATACTGGGAAATAACATACGATTGCAAATTATTATATTTTCATTGATGTTACTCTTAGTTTTTAGGTCATCGTTTGATGAAAGAAAAAGGGAAGAGAAAAAAAAAACAAGATAAAAAAGAAAAATTAAATGAACCAGATAATCTCGAACATTCTTAAATGACCTAACAACCTTGATATCTTTTACCACATTATCTATACTTAAATGTATAGTCTAAACAATGTTGATGAAACGGGGTTTTCCTTGTAAATCTTTTTATAAATCGATTATTGATCTAAACAAATGATATATTATATTTATCTTAAGATTATTCCAATTATAGTTCATTCATTAGAAAATATATTTTACAAGTATTTCTACGATCAAATTGTAGTATACATTTCTTCGTTTTATTATTTATACGCGTGTATATATTTATTTATTGATTAAATATATATCTTTGACAAATATCTACGATCACAATTTATAATATAGATTTTTTACTTTTTATATAATTAATACTCATATATTAATATATTCATTGATCTAAACAAATGATAYATTATATTTATCTTAAGATTATTCCAATTATAGTTCATTCATTAGAAAATATATTTTACAAGTATTTCTACGATCAAATTGTATTATCCATTTCTTCGTTTTATTATTTATACGTGTGTATATATTTATTTATTGATTAAATATATATCTTTGACAAATATCTACGATCACAATTTATAATATAGATTTTTACTTTTCATATAATTAATACTCATATATTAATATATTCATTGGGGGAGGTGTCATGGTCCATGAATATTTCATTTTATAAACATCTACGATTAAAATATATCATAAATTATAATAGTGTTTTTTTTTTAGTTACTTAATCACTCGACCTATTAAAATCAAAGAAATATAATAAATGAAAATGAATACACGGAAGTCGTTAATCAAAAGATTATTCTATATCATCGATCAAGATTTTAATCTCGAGTAGTAACAATAAGATTTATATCGATACTGATTGACGCCTTTTAATATCATTCCGCTTAATACATATTACAAAATATATCTTAACCATTCACATACCATTCACATATACACATCCATACAAATATATTTGGTTAGTCATAATTAATTACGAATGATGAACGTATAATAACAAATTGAATCTAATCATAAAAATAAATATTTGTCATTAATCGTGATTTTTTCTATTTCAGATATCGCAATTGTGATTGGAGATGAGATAAATTTTTTTTCACAAAATCGAACTTTGATTGGTGAAGCTACCGTAGCTGGAGCGGTCTCGTTAACAGGAATAGCTTACGATGATAAAACAAGGACAGTTTATCTCAGTGATCCTACAAACAACGTAACGATATTTAGTAATGACTTAACTACGAAAAATTTAACATCTAAACCACTATTACTGGGTAAGTAATGTTATCTCATATATTTTTCTTTCTAATACTCTTTCTTAAATTCATAATTCAACCATTCTCCCGCTTAAAACTTATTCGATCACGTGGTACTTTAAACAAACGAATAAGAATGAAGCGCGGGAACGAGACTTCCTATCAAATAAATCAACTTTAATATTATTTGAACACATTTCAATATTAAATATTAAACAATTTTTACACTGATATAATAAACAAATCAACAAATTATAATTGAATGAACATTTAGAAAAGAAAAATACTATCCATGATTTTAGTGTGTTAAATATTTTCTAAACACCATAAATTCAATAAATTCTCTAAAGAAATAATTCAATTCCTATAGGTTTATGTATTTCGTAACGGAATACATATCGATAAGCCATATTCAATAAATTATCCGAGAAATAAATCAATTTCAAATCGATGTATGCTTTCTCGTTTCTTTAGAACAGGATACAACGTATATCGTGGCGATGGCATTTGATTCAACATCTCGTACACTTTTCTGGTGTGATGCCTATAACAAAACAATCATGAAGATGCACGTGCCGACAGTAGGCCCACCTGAGAAACCAGTCCTTCTGCATACACTCAAAGGAATTCCACGTGGTATAGCACTTGACACATGTAACAGGTGTGTGCTGCTTCACTTTCTTTCTCGCACTCCCTTCTTCCTTTGCACTTTCACTTTCACTCGGTCTCTATTTCTATTTCTCATATTTTATTTCACCCGGCGAGACTCTGTGATTTTTGTATTTTTCTATTTTTATTTTTCTATTTATATATTTGTTTTTATTTTCTCTTGCAGTCACGTTTACTGGACCAACACCGACAAACAAAATCCGAGTGTCGAAAGATCGAACATGGACGGTACAAATCGAACTGTCGTAATAACGAAAAATCTTTACGAACCAATGGGTATAACAATCGATCATAATGAAGGTAAACTTTATTGGTCTGACGATGAAGAAGGTATACACTTTAAAATCGAACGTAGCAACTTAGACGGTACAGAACGTGAACTGATATTCCACAATAGAAATCATCAACCCGTTTATTTAACCATCGATAAGGATTTCATTTATTGGTGTGATTGGGTACACTCAGCTATTTGGATGATGCCTAAAAATATAACAAATCCTGATTTACCAATCAGATTTAAATCCTTTGTCAAATCTATTAAAAATGTTAATCCTAATGCTGTTATCTCACGCGACAACGTTGATACCATCGATTGCGATGCTATACTCAAAAAACGATCCGGAAAATTGGATGTTTCGGAAATAACAAAAAAAGCAACTCTCCTAGAATCTTATAATAATTTAACAACTAGTACGGAAGAAGTTGAATCGGATAATTATCAAACGTGTTTAAACAATGGTTTCTTCGATCGTACTTTACGTACTTGTCGTTGTAAATCTGGGTAAGATATATTTGTAATTGTATTATTTAATAAATTGTTTTCTCGTCCAACATACAAGTAGAATATTTTTTACATTGCATTTGAGATATTGTTGTGTTTAGAAATATTATTATAAATGAATTTAATATTACGAATGTGTGAAATGTTTAAGCACTTTTGTTTAACGCAAAAACAATGAAATTGATTCGAACTACTATTACTACCCCATTGGTAGTGTTTCTCTTTCTATCATACGGTTAAAAATAAAATAGAATAATTTCCTGCACAGTTACACGGGTACTATGTGCGAAATTTCCCTCTGCCACAATTACTGTCTACATGGTGGTGAATGCATCGTTACGAGTTTCGGTGAAGTCAAATGTCTATGCAATGGTACGTTTGCCGGTAAACGATGTGAAATAAATCTTTGCGAAGATTATTGTCTCAACGATGGCATATGTTTCGTCCACGCAACTTTTCCTATCTGCGAATGCAAATTTTCGAGTGGAACACGTTGCGAGATTCTTAACGAAACACCTAAATTGGAAATACCTGAAGTGGATGCTGCACCTACGTTGAGTCTATCTAAATTCGAAAACACCGATACAAATTCCACTTGCAGGTAAATCAAATAAAAATATACATTTTGTTGTCTTTAGCACACATATTGTTAACAAAAAATATGTTCGATATTAATTAACATCTCATTTATATGCTTTTTTTTTTTTTCTTCTTTTAACAGATGTAACGAGAACAACAATACCTCGGAAAAGATGATTAATCAAAATGAAAATTGTCAATCGAAGACATTAATATTTGTACTTATCGGTCTAATAGTTGTACTTATTATAATGATCGTCGTAATGAGTTTCTATTTGAACAAATTACGTCGTCGTCCAAGAATCAAGAAGAGATTTGTAGTTAGCAAGAGTGGTGTTACGCCATTAACATCCAGACCGCAACTAACGGATAATCAATGCGAAATAACTATAGAAAATTGCTGCAACATGAATATCTGCGAAACAGTGAGTGAAATACCATCTAAATAGTTTATTGTAAGGTAGCTCACGAGGTGAACAAATGTGTGAATGCGTGTGTATGTATGTATGCATGCATGTATGTATGTATTTGTGAGAATTGTCACTCGATACTCACGCATGCATAGCTCATTCTTTTACTCTTTTTTTTTCTTTTTTTTCTTCTAAAATAAAAAGAGAAAAAAATAATAATCAACGGTATAATTTCGCAACAGTATTATTATAAATTATAAATCGGATATATTTTTCGTTATATATACAATGTTTGTTTATTTCTTTTTCTTTTATTCTTTTTAAATCGATCAATAATTCATTAATTTGTTCATCAACAATTACGATCTCGTTATATTTCATTCGCAAGTATGTCAGTATTTTTTTTAATCAATCATTCCTTCGCGCGAGACAACGTTTAATAATATATTTTAAAAAGATAATCATTATTGCGTAGGAAAATATGAAAAATAAAGTATACATTAATCTCGGTTCGCGTTAGATTTAACGTGACGAATGAAAACACACACACACACACAAATGACAAAAAAAGAGAAGAAAGAAAATCTTATTAAATATAAAAAGCGCAAACAAAAATTAATTTTTTAACGAAAAAATTTATTGATACGTAAAAAGAGAAAGCTTATGTTGTTGACAAGTCTCTCTCTCTCTCTCTCTTTCTCTTGGGAGTCGGGTTCGCGACCGAGAATATTCTTTTTCTTTGAGATAATGGTGATCAAGCTATTCAACGTTTTATTACGTAATATAATTCATATTAGTTATAAATAATATAAGGGGGAAAGAAAAAGAAAAAAAAAAAAAAGAAAAGAAGAGAAGAGTGTTAACTTATTATATGATTTGACGTTTTCTTCACGATATATATATATATATA